CACAGCTAAGGTGCAGGTTCACACACCTTCCAATGCTGAACAAAACTAAGTGACTCCAGAATTTAAGTGTACCAGTAAGGGCAGAGACACCCTAAGTCAATATCAAAGAACAAGCGACAACAAAGGCCAACTTTTGTCACCTCACATTGCCTTCATCTGGGCCAAAAAGTGGCACCTAAACACACCACAAAAACTACAGCCAACTAGCACATATGCTCTGCACCTGCATGAGAGGAAATAACTCTCCATACCAGCAGGTGTAGGTAGTCTGTATTTGTCCTTCCAAAAGGAAAAGCAGAAGACCCAGGACTTTAGATATACTAATTGTAAAAAAAAGCAGCTCTGGCTCACCACAGATGGTTTATAGCTACTTCTAATCAAGAACTTTTCTGATATGAAGTTGCAAATGGCACTGGCGTTGCCAGTCCTTGATCTATTGGTTGTGGAAAAAGAAAGAAAGTAGTAGATGCAAAAAATAAGGAGAAAGCACAGTAAATGGGTGAAATCGTTGTTGCTACAATGACAGGCTCAAGGTGCCTTCTCAAACCTCTCTCTTCTCCTGCACTGATTAGCTAAGCTGAACAGCAAGTCAGAGTGAACTGTATCACTGACAGGGTTTGCCGCCAATTCAACATGCTGAACTGGCTGAAACTTTTAGATAGTTTTAATTATTTAGTCTTTTTTTGCTTCAAAATTTTTTAAATATTCGATACATTTGTTGTGAAGGCCTATGGCACAACCTTTGATGCCTCAACACACGCCCGGCTAATAGTACGTCACTCAGACATCTGTTATGAATTGAGGTCCCCTCACCAGGAGGGTGAGGGAGAACTGAGGCAGGACTCAAGTATGCTGACCCAGGTGCTAGTATAAAAGGTTTACTGGAACACAACACAAAGTAACATAATAAGGGTCATGTACATACAGTGGGTACGGAAAGTATTCAGACCCCCTTAAATTTTTCACTCTTTGTTATATTGCAGCCATATGCTAAAATCATTTAAGTTCATTTTTTTCCTCATTAATGTACACACAGCACCCCATATTGACAGAAAAACACAGAATTTTTGACATTTTTGCAGATTTATTAAAAAAGAAAAACTGAAATATCACATGGTCATAAGTATTCAGACCCTTTGCT